TCGGGAATCCTTAGTCATAGGTAATCGTAAACAGGTCTGAGGCATGCGCAGACTAACTACATGTGCAGTTACATGCGCAGTTAACTATATTTTAAGTACTGATTAAATACCCGTTTATGTTTAATCCTGATTTCAATAACACTTCTGACAATATGAATACTTACTTTTACCTGCTGACTTCTCTAGTTATCGTGTATGTCATCGTTTCGCATATAATTTATGCGATGTAATTGTACTAACTGTGATTGCATCTTTCTTTATAATCAAACCACTCTGTCAGATATTTTCATCTTATACAACTTACATTAAAGTCTGCTTCAAATATGGTTATATATGGGATGAAAAGTGCATTCAGAGTGGGTATCAAACATTGGCTGATACTGGAAACTTCTAAACTCCATGGTTATTTTGTTTGTGGTTTTTGGCCTTGTTTCGGTTGTACATCAAAGAGCACTGACACCTCACAGAAGTGAATCGGTCGGAGCGCCATTGTGGGCAAAGCCCGACACTCACTTTGCGTTTTCTGAGGACAACACTCGTCGTCTTAGTGGTTTTCTACGGTCACAATTTCCAAAAAACTAAAGACGGCTCATATGCAGTCTCTATTTGCGTTGCTGGAATAATTTGCCAGACATCGAATATTTTGCCTTTTTAGGTATTAACTATTGTCTTTTGTTCTTCGTAAGATAAGTCATCTGGTTAACGTAAACACTTTGCAGGGCTGACGGTGTTCAAAAAGATAGGCAATTTAGATTGGTTCCGCTACTAAGTACTATTTGAGTTTCGATCGAATAATGTAACAAATCAACTGGTCGGCACTTTATCTCAACAAAAATGTAAACATCTATGATGTTTGCTGTTGTAGTAATTGTTTATGCTTCCGGAAACTTTACACATATATCACTGTCAAGGAAGATCTCCAGTGCTTACCAAATTGGTAAAAATCAAGTTGCAACAACACATTCGCATTCAGCTAGCAGGACGGTTGCAGTTATGAAATGAAGGTCTTAATCAATGACAATGACCAATGACGGCCAGTCTTTTTGTGTAGTTGCATATTATATACTAAATTCATTGCTAAAATAGTCTTCTTTCTTGATTGTAGGTCTACAGAACTCACCAATGAGAGTCATGTCTATTACCCTGCTCAAGCTACGACGTTTCTACGGTTGTGACTAC